AATAGCCTTAACAGCCGGCCAGATATTAATATACTATATATTATATGTCAGATGGCGCGGTTGGTTTCACCAAAGGTCTTTGCGCCACGCCCAAGCTGCAGATCGACTTCGCACTCGCCTGGCGCGGTCTCCAAGCTTCGGAAGATTTTGTGAGATTCTAGAGCTGGTAGAGCCGTAGAGTGCTAAAGCTGTAGGGGAACCCATGAATGCAACGACGTTCTGTGGTGATACGTTTCTCCACGATGAGGTGAACCATCTACCAGAGCATATGCTCTCTCTTGAAGCTCAAGCTTCGGCTCGGAATCTGTACGGGAAGAACAACAAGCTGCATTAACAGCGGACCGCTCCTCTAACAAGACTTCCCGCACAATCCTAGCTGACGTGGCTTCAACCTGTGTTTTGTTGGAACTCATTTTGCATAGCAGAGCGCAACTTTTTGGAGATTTTAGGAGCGCGCACGGAGCAAGTTTACGCAGACTTAACCAAGACTTCCCACAAGTTCCATAACCAACGTGGTCTATATCTGCGTCTTTAGAACGCAACTTTGCATAGAGGCGCACAAGGTTGAGGAGTGCGCGCGAGGAGGAGTTAGATACCTCTGTGTCTGCAGACACCTGAAGGATATAAACTACAGCAGCCGAGCCGGTGCACTCCAGCATTCCCAACATGTTGCCAAGCTGAGGCTTTCGAAACTTGCTGCAGAGCAGAAGATGGCCAGCCAGGTCAAGGGAGTTGATCGCTTTTGCTGCTGTCGAAAAATGCTCAAGAAGTTGCTTTAGGAGGACCCCCCCAACGTATCCTGGGCGTGCAAACTCAATCTTGGTCTTTCCACAGTTTCACTGGCCTGGAGCAAATCGAGGGTTTATACCGTATGTTTTTGTGTACATATATATATATATATACTTGCATATGTATATATGAATGTAACCTCATGTAGGAGCAGCCCAGGATGCATCGCAGAGCACAGTTAGTCCTCTAGTAAGCAACGGCTGCATGGAATCACTTCGCCCTGCTGAATGCTTTCAAACTGCCTCTTTGCTTGCGCAGAGACTCTGCCAGCAAGGGATGTTCCAAAAGCCCACGATCCATTATTGCATGTTCAAGCGAAGTCTTGCTGGAAAACCAGGCACTAACCCCGTGCTGGCTTGTTCCCACCATTTAAACCACATGTTCCTTCCCACACTTGCCGAACGACTTGAAGATATCTGAAGTGCCAAGTAGCGCTCCGAAGAGATGCTGCCATGGTTTTGGGTTTGCTGCGCAACGAAGCCTCTGGACAAGACTGAGGAGTGGTGCACAGTCGCAAGAGTCGCTAGCTCCCTGCATCTCTTCTCGAACTGGCCCTACTGTAGAGTGAGCGAAGGACGATACAGACGACTTCCTTTTCCGCGGTGACCGTCCAGACTCGCAGATCCGCAGTAGCACGCCTATTTGCAAGCACCATCGGGTGCTGCAGGATGGGATGTTTTCAGTGTTTCCTGCAACTGATGCAGCTAGACGCAGATGGAACCCCACGTGGCCGTAGGACACAGACGAGCAGATTTCCTTTGGGCAGCTAGCTCAGGATGTGACGAAGGTTTACCTGTCATAACCCAAGTTCCCTGAGGCACGAACCCCAGGACTCCGGGATCGCGCCAGGCTGTGCAACTCTCTTTCTGCTTTCTGGCATTTGAGTCGTGGTCCATGAAGCTGTACCTCAAACATCCTTGCTGCAATGACGACCCATGAGCTTTCTTGACTTGTGTGAAAGAGCACGGCAGAAGCCGGGTTCGGGTTGCCACCAGCAGGCGAGATGCCACCTCAGAAGACGACCGGACCTGCTGAATCAGCATATTGCTCAGGCTTTTATGACTTTATGAATGCAAGAGCGTGGGTGTCGTCTTGCATGTGCACGAAATCCTGAGGCAGGTATTCCATTGGCGCTGAAGCCCTTCACGGCTGTTGCATCTTCAGGCTGAAGGCATCTGAGAGCACCAGTTGTTTGAGCATCATGGGTCGCCGCGCGTTTGGCTGGCATGAAGATTTCTGCGAGTGCCGTTTTGTAAAACAAGTGCATGGCCAAGTCAACAAACCGTGCCGGGCGCATCCTACCGCCCCTGAGCACCTCAAAACACCTCAGACCAGGACTTTTTTGGTCGTTGGCTCGCTGATCTGCGCAGCCAGCTACCACAGCTTCGCGTTCTACCCTTACTGCACCATGCGCCAAGGGGCTGCTTTGTGAGGCCACAGGCACCACCGTCGCGGAGGTACAGTACTCTTTTGGTCGAGTCGGAGTCAAACGAGCAACGTACACCAACGGCAGATTCCAAGTGTACATCAGTATGAGCCAAAGCTCCGCGACACCTTGTCAGGCATGGTTATAACGTCCAGCCTTCGAGTATGCATTTGCAGGTGCAAACCCAGTACGTAACGGCAAATAGTCTTCACAAATGAAAGATTCGATATGATGAAGTATGCTACAGCTGCGCAAGGCCACTAAGCGCCTCCTTTACTAGACTCTGGAAACACCCCCGACGTTGCCATGCACAAATCATAGCTTCAGGTTGAGAGGACTGGCGGCCTGGCATGAGAGTTGTGTAGCTTTCTACGGCGGCCAACGAAGATCGACTTCGTTCAGCTTCCAGGTTTCTAAACTATTTGGCCCAAGGAATGTTCTTCTTTGCAGCCAAGTACAAATCAGTAAGAGGAGAGGAAGAAATCGTCGAAGTCCGCAGGAGTTGGCGAATATTTTCTCATTTTCGCAGCCTTGCTTTGGCCGGCATTTGTCCAGGCCTTTTCTGAATCAGCCACTGTACTCCTAGCCACGTGGGGTTTCTTACAGTTAGGTGCACTAGGAACTCATCACTTGCGGAGATTCCCACATGGTCTGAATCCGCCACCAAGATTCAAAAGCCTGGCTATTCCTGGGTTTTCCCATACGCCAGATGGAGGGCAGCATGTGCCCAGAAGGCATTGTTGCCGCGTCGGCTTTTCACAAGCCCTGTACAACCTGTCCTTTCAAAGTGCGAAACTCTGCTTTGTTCAGGTTTAGAAGCCGGGGTTTCACCACTTTTCATGGTGATTGCTCACTACGGCAAGCTGCTTCCAATGTCAGTGTTGGACTGCTTTCTGTCCACAGCAGCAGTTTCGAGAGCCGCCCATCCGGCAAAGATTGCCGCTGCCATTTGGGCATTCTGGGCAGGTACCAAGTAGGTGATGTAGGTTGCTTGTCTTTGCTTTGGCAAGTGAGGGCTCGGCGCCTTGCTGCAGATATCGCAGCAGAGGGGCCGCAGAGTTCGTGGAGTGGGGGCGGAATTCGTTGCCACTGTCGACCCGGTTGACGCAATGTGGCGACACGGCATAAACAGGCTGGGCATTCTCCTTGCTTGCTGCACACTGTTTCGCGGTGAAGTGGTGCTTGTCAGCAGTGTCCAACAAGCGCGGTAGGATTTTCTTTGTTGCTGCTGTCCTGGATCGCGAGTTGTCCTCAACATCAATTCAAGATGTGATGCCGGCAATGCCTCTGTTCGGCTGACGAAGTCTTTTGCAAGAGTAAAGCCAGCCATTGCGTTCACAAAGGGCTTCCTTGGAGTGCGGCACCTTCCGCCTCGTAGCTCGAGACTGCCATGGCAAGCTTTTTTCCCTTTCAATGCTGCTCCGTGACGGAGCCAAAGCATGAACAGGAGCCACTGCTACATGTCAAACATCTCGCTACGAACAGATGGTAACTGGAGCCGGATGAGCAGCATGCGAAACTGCTTTGCAGGATGTCGAAGAGATTTTTGACGACTTCCTCTTCCGTGGTGGGCACCGTCGATTTGATGAGTTCGCCAGCCTCTCAGAAACAGTTGGCGCACGAAATTGCCGGCTTTTGTGGCAAACGATCTGCTGCACTACAGGTGAAATCGGATGTCGACGACCCTCAGCCTGAAACATCAGTCACCAGCATCACAATGGCAGATGACCTCGCCAGCAGCTGGGCCAGCACCGATAAGACGGCACCCATGTGGACGAATAGCAGCTAAGCCTGCCAGCTAAGCACTCTTGATATTCACTTGCAGATGCAAGTCATGCATTAAGGTGACAAGACGGTATTCTCGTCTGACAGTTCGCAGACCGAGTCCTACCTGGAGGTTGGTCACCAGCAACCTCATCTGACCAGTGAGAGTGTGAGAGACGAAGCCCCTCCATTGCACATGCCGAAATCTTTGTAAGCCCTTTCTAACATATTGCCAGGACACCTCATGACACGTAGGTGTGATATTATGCAGAGCCTGAGGTGACTGTGCACGTCCTCACAGTGTTTACGCATTCCTATCTGCAGAGTGAGACACTGTCACATTGTGTCCCTTGTGTCCCGTCAGACCCGTGTGACTCGTCCCCACTGGCTATGCGCGAGCCATGACATCACTAACTCTTGACAGACTCGCTCTTGGCAGTTGAAAAGGCTGTAAACGGATGGATGTGCTCGCCAGGAGCCTTCGACATTGTCTGCTGCATTCGACCGCTTCGAATTGCTGGAGGCACACAGTTCCACAAAGAAGTATTGCCAGCACTGGCTAGAAACTAGACAGTTCTTGGACACCGTGAGCAACCTATGCTATGCTTTATTTATCCCGATTTCTGCCAGGCTGCCCACCTCGCCGACGGCAAAGCAGACGAAATACCTCACCTGGAGCCTTGGTTGAAGCCAGATTTGTGGAAGCTGCTCGGCCGTCCAAGACACGAATACAAGCAAGACAACGTCAGGAGGCGAGACAGCGTGGTGATCTGCAGCAAAGCCGAAAAGTAACCGCCTTCGAACTCGCAAAATCGAACCAACATCGAAAGTGAATCCAACTTGTGTGACTCAGATAGGTTGTGGAGTCTTCAGGGCATCGGGCCCCATCGCGTTGGGACGTGTTGGGAGCCTTGTCTGGTGGTTCGGGGCAATGCTTGGACCTTAGATGCCTCCCATCTTGAGTTGCCAGCTGCGCTTGAGGCGATATTGGGAACCGGTGGACTGACCAGATTACGCACCGTTGCAGCACAATACGAGGCTTGCCGACAGGGATGCCGAAGTCAGATGGAGCACAGCGCCTGTCAGCATCACGACCGTCCGAAGGCATCGCTCCAGAAAATCAACATTGTCCCGTCCAGCATGCCTGTCTTCGGAGCACTTCCCGACTATGATTTCGAGTCGCTCAGTTGCTGACAACACCTGAAACAACTGCAGCCGAGAACGCTTGACAGGCCTTCGCAGGCACGTCTCTTCGACTTGTTGTGCAACCTAGGTACGGCTTGGAGCTCCAAAGTCATTCTTTCATGCTGGTCGTCACGGTCACGTGGATGCCTGGCTCAATTCAGGAACTCCGCCCACCTGCCATTCTGTAGTCACGACCGACACCGTCACACGATGGCAGAAGCTCATCAAATCCCAGAGTCTGAACATTCAGCTGTCAGAGTGCAGCTTGTATATCTCGAACAGATGCTTAGAGAAACCAGGCATCTTGGCAGCATGGATGAGCTGCTCCGCTACGCGGCGCTGTACATAAGCAAGGAAGACGCCGCACAGAGCCAAGCAATGCTGGATACCTTCAAGAGTCTTGTCGGGCGCTCGAAATCTTCGTCATCAGCTTGTGAAGGACTGTTCCCCTGGTTGGGATAGCACCGTCAACAAGGTTGAGCCTTTGGGATGCTTGGCTGAGGGAGTTGCATAGCAGGCACGGCCGGATAATGTTGATCACCTCGGCCGTGAGTCTCGAAATCAGCTAGCAGATTTGGTCACAGATGAGGACAGCAAGCTGCAGCGGAGGCTTCAGCTGTCCATGGACTTGCATGCCCTGAAGCCTGAAGACTGCCGTTGCAACCGTCAGGCAGTTTGGCGCGTGCACGGGGTTGTCGCCCGACGCAATTGATGTATATAAGGCAGCGATCAGCGCGCTCGAAGCCAAGTTCAGGAAGTGTTGTCGACTTTCCAAGGATGGTGTTGGAGTGAAGACCGATGACGTGCTTCGTCGCAACTGGCTCATTCCAGAGAAGCGTTCTCCCTATGATGTCGGAGCCTTACTTGGCCAGCGGCCGTCGTTTCTTCTAAAGTGCAGAAGCCAGGCGTGGGTTGTGGAGGCATCGGCAACGGACCAGGATGAGCAACTTGGACTAATGCAAGCTGCCTGCGGCTTTCTGATCGTGCGAGCTGCATGTGGTGCAGTCACACGTTGACCGATGTGCTGAGCTAGATTTTGCTGCCCAAGAGGTGTGCCGTCTTCCTGTGAAACCATGTCCAGGAATTCAGAGTCGAAGCCGGCACAGAAAAGGAAAAGCCGGGTATCGAAAGCAAAGGAAACAAGCAGGAGACCTTGTGCACCAGGCCTGTCGGCTCATCGCTGCCACCTGTGGATGATGGCCATGTACGTGCTTCAGATGTATTGAACCTTGGCGGCCAAATATATATATATATATATGCCCTTGTTCACTTTGATTCCTGGATTGCTGCGTACCCATGATACGCACCGACTGCATCGACCAGCACTTTCTGGATACTCTGGCAGCTCCGAGGAAGTTCACAGCTCTGACCGGTGACCGCGGCGAAGGCGCTGTTGCGTCGTTCTCTCTTCTCCAAAGAGTGTGTAAACCCTAATCCGAACTGCACCTAGCTGCATGTGTATACACAATCTCACACACAAAGGAGATGTGTGTGTGTGTGTCAATATACGTGTATATACACATATACACACATACATGTACATATATTTGTATATATACATATATGTATACATCGGTAGGTAGGCATAGATGTAGATTCAGATATACTAAATATGTACATATATATGTACATATGACATATGCATACGCACACACACACACAAACACACGTATAATTACATATACATGTATGTGCATGTAGCCCATGCTTTCACACTTCAAGAGCAAATTTCTATTGAAGGCTCTGGATGATTGCACAGAGTTGCGAGGGCTTACTAGGGATGTGGGATTGAGCTTCCCTTCGGTAAAGTTTCCCGTGGGCGCGCGACACACCCACACTATCAAAAGCAAGGTCGAGAGAGCACGATTGCAGAACTTGAAGGTTGGCTTCAATGAAAACCTGCACAGCAAGAGTCGTAAGAGCTCCGAACCATCCTTGGTGTTATCTTCTTATTGTTTACGTGTGGGCCTCTATCGTCGTTCCACAGCATGCATGCGGAATCCATGTGATGTCAAAAACAGCGCATTTCCTGCGGCAGAAAAACATCACACAGCCTCTGCAAAGATCCCGCATGAGTCTCCAAAAGACGAGCACGTCCAATTATGTCATAATTATGTCTGTCAATGTTCAGCTAGTTTGTCTACATTTGTCCCGCCTGCACACCAAACATACGCACCTTGCGACAGTTCCTTTAGGTTACTTGAAGGCAATTCCTTCAATCTGTTCGAATTGGTCAGCCAAAGCTCGTGGTCTTAGCCCCCATCAAGCACCTACATAGGTCGTTTAATGAGTTTCATCAGGGGTTTCATGGTGCATTGTCTGTCCAGCCAGGGGATGAGAAAATCCACTGTGTGGGCAGATGGGTAGTGACCACGTGACCTTGCCCCACATTCCCGCTCTCGTCCGCTGCTGGTTCAACGGGGTTGACAAATCTATACATGCCCGCCGCATGCGTTGTTTGATGCATTTGTTTTTCTTGTTCCTGTTCAGCAGATCAAAAAATGCTACCATATATCCATGGTGAGGGAGCGGTAGCATGTATGCATACCTCTAGAGCGGTATCCAAGCACACATGTCACATGGGCGGATAAGCAGATATACACATAGTTGCCTGAAGCACTGCCTTCTTCGCATTGCAAGAGGTGCAGCGGAGAAATCCAATCTTGTTCTTCAAACTCTTTATCAAGATCTGCAATCTTGCATGCACCTTGCGGTAGTCGGCGCATCCAGGCGGAGTCGGATTCGCGTTGAAGGTCCGACATGCACGGACCTCAGGGACCGTCAAAGCAACCAAACCATCAGCAGCTGTCGTGAAACAATGATGTTGTTACGTGGCAAAAGACAAGCTCAGCAGTGCTGCTGAGGTTTTGACCGTGTCACCCGGATCGCTGAGCATGGCGTTGATGCGTTTCATGCCGAAGTGGGCCCTCCGGAAAGCGCTTCTCGGCTTGTGAACGAATCGGCACCTCGCACGGTGCTTCCCCTCTTTCGTGTTAAGGTGCCTCGAAAGACCTGTGCATGTTGGCAGTTTTTTGGATGACAGTGGTGGGATGTTGCGGAACAGTGCCGCTGCAAGTTTCGGGGTGCATGTAGTCAGGCTGCTGTGTTTCAATCGCGGAACTTAGATACTTCTGCCACGAATCGTAGATTCTACATAGATATGGTTCGCTACGACCAAAAAGGAGCCACGGCACCGTCGTAGGAAGTTTTGGCTAACACGTCGTTAGCATAACTCGTGTTCACCCCTGGGCCTTTGAGGCTTGGCTCAGCTTTGGAGCGTGCTGTGCGCATGACGTCTGCGCCTCAGAGACACGTAGGTGCACGCTTTAGTCAGATGTATGGCAAGGAATGCTACAGTAAGTCTTTCTTGTGCCGGTACGGCTTGTTTCCTCATGGCGTGTAAATAGTGAAATCCCCCGGTGTGATGTGCAGATTTGTCCATCAGTCCCATGCCAAAGGTTTGACATGCAAGTGCAGGCCTCCATGATAGAACAGAAGCTTGAAGCTGAACGTGATTATGTACGACATGTATATAGGATGTGTAGGGGTAGAGATCTGGAAGAGACATAGAGAGAGGGAACGGCGGCAGCTCCGGTTTGTTGAGTTCGCGGAGTCGAGGCGGGATGCAGGTGGATGCAGGTTTTGAGATTAGTTTTAAGGTGTTTGTGGTCGTGCGGCGTCCCACGCCGACAGAAGCTAAGCAGGGGACGCAGGATGTTTGGGCCCCCTGGTGGGGGTATGCGCCATCCTTATGCCTTATGCCTTGAGCAAGCGATTGTGGGGTGGGAAGTGAGCACTGAGTCGGGGAAGGCAACCGGTACCACAAAGACTAGTGTGGGAGGAATCCAACCTCCAGTGTTGTCAAGCATGGGTGGGTGTACTGCCCTCAAAGCGGTTGCTCCTTGCAAGTATGTTCCATTGTCGGTGCTTCACAGTGCGGTGATGATTTCCTCGTCCGAGCTTGGTTAACTTGTGTCGTGAGAACGCTGTACTTCGCTGCATGGACCCAAGCGCGCAGAGTAACAGGTCTCACTTAGCAGGTTGGCGGAAACTGAACAGATCTGAACAGAAGGAAGAGAGCCAAACAGATGCGTAGGTAGTTAGGCAGGTAGATATGTGACCAGATCGATTCATTGGCACACGATGGCATACGCATTCCTCTTGAAAGTTTATGCCAGGTAGAGTGCTTTTCACTTCTGACTGTGGCCGTTTAGGCTTGATCGAGCACACAGGAGCGGATGGTGTTTTATGACCGCCAACATGGGAAGCTTACGCTACGTCGGTCGCAGCATGAGCTTGGAGGCAGAGAGCGTTCTGAAGAACAGGCCTCGCAAATCGATCAACCACGAGCACCTGAAAGCGACCTTGGACATTTTGAAGAGCATGCGCTACCATCGAACTGAGAAGAAACCCTGGCTGGACGAAGAAGGGAACATCATTTGGTCTTTGGGACGGTGGGACGTTGTCAGACACTAGTCGTAGAGCTGCAAAGGTTTGTGTATCAAATGGGCTGAGTATGAAGTTGTAGAGCATTGTAGAGTGACTCCCTCGGGCAGGCTGCGCGTGGCCAGGATCGTGCTCAGCCAGACCTTTGAGATGCTAATGGGCTTGATCATCCTTGTGAACATGGTCTGCATCATCATAGAGGCGAACACTGATGCGGACTGCTATCCGGGTTACACCGATGATTATAGCGCATGTCCAAGGAGGAGTGGGAACATAGCATGGCTCGGCATAATGAACGTTGTTTTACTCACGATCTACTTGCTTGAGATGGGTGCGCGCATCTTTGTCGAGCGACAAGGTTTCTTTTGCAATAAGTGGAACCTGGTAGATGCGTCGACCGTACTCCTGGGGTGGACCAGTGTAGTATTGACAGCCACAGCTGGGTCGGTTATCAATCTAGGCCTGTTCCGGCTCTTGCGAATGATTCGCGTATTGAGGGCGGTTCGCCTCCTCATCGCGGTTCCAGAGTTTTATTTGCTCGTGACTGGTATCTACTCCGCGATGAAAGCCATCGTGTTTGGATCGGCAATGCTGCTGTTGGTGATTCTCTTTTGGGCGGTCGTCGCAGTGGAAATGTTTCATCCTTTGCTGGCCGGTGTCCCACCGAGCGAGTGCGAAAGATGCGGAGACAGCTTCAAGAGCGTTTACGATGCGGCGATCACGCTGTTCCAGCAGACCCATGGCTGAAACCAGCTAGCAGCTAGCTAGATCGGGGTTGCCTCGGCAGAACTTGCATACGGTAGATGGCAGCAGCTAAAGCCCAGCAAGCCACTGAAACATGTGCGAGCACAAGGGCTCGAATTGTTTCGCATGGCTTGCTCCACTATCTCTCTTCAGCCGTGATCAAACAAAGTAGTGAATTTGCCACAGTAAACAATAAAGGTGGGGTGATGGACATGTTTTGGCATGGCATCTTGGACAGAAGCCAGGATCGTTGCAGGAGACGCCTGGGGCGATGTTTCCTGGCCGCTGCTTGTGGCTTGGCAGAGTCAGAGCTGGACCAGAGGTCATGGGAATGCCCCTGCCAAAACTCGCTAGACTGCCCCGACAGCCCTGCTGTGAAGCATTCTCGCCCGTGAGGAACTTCGGCCATGGACTTCAATTGCTCTCTTCCTGATTGTCGTGACTATCTCTTTGGGGGTCCTAAACTTGATTTTAGCAGTCCCTGGCTGAGACGAGTCGCATTGCTTCCAGTAGCTGGCATATCCTTGTGAGCACGTTTCTACCGGTTGCGGGACACCGTGCTAGCTTACTTTCCAGACGAAGGTCATTGTCGAGAGCGCCGCCGAAGCCAGAGAGAATGATTCGGACCAGAAAATCAAGAACAAGGAATCAGAAAGGGGCAAGAGCATGGTGGAGCTAGCTGTGCTGTGTGCAGATCTTGACAAAGATGCGAGTGGCACGGTCTCTCTTGACGAACTGTTCTTCGGCTACGACAATCTACCACAGTTCAAGCGCCTGATGGAGCAGATGGATATCAAAAGGGATGAGTTACTCTGGCTAGACTTCATGTGTTTCCTCCCGTTTTCGTAACCGGAAGCCACACGGTTTGTTCCATGCTTTCCATGCTTAGCTTACACTTAGAATGGAGTTGGTCTTCAACGTGCTGAACATCAATGGTAGCGGACACATTCCTTACCTGGAATTCTGCAGAAGTCTTGGAAGTTTTTTCAAGCGCGATCCTGTGATCATGCACTCCCTGGTCCAGTGTTCCATCATGGACTTGAAGAAGCTGATTCAACAAGAAGTTGCTGCCTGTCGAGAGAATCAGCCTCCAGGCATTGCAGGCCTGTTTGCACCCGCTACAGCCCGATTTTGCCCTTCCGGCTGCTCCGGGTGAATTTCTTGAGCCATCGTGGTTGCCCCTGCTGCAAATCACAGAGTTTAGGTCCAGGTTAGGTTGATGTGTGCCCCGTTGAACTTTCCAGGTTATCTCAATGAAGCAGCAGCACGAGGAGATTTTGCATGAGCACCGCAGAATTCTGACTGTGCTGCACCCTCATGGAGCCTTGGTTGCATTGATCCTTGCTTGCTTTCTTCGGCAACTCGCCCCAAACATTGAGGGAGCCTGTCTATGCGACTTGATCCAGATCAGGCTACTCTCCGCGACTTCTAAAACAACGGAAACACAAATGTTAGGAAACACTCAAGCATCGTCACAAAGTGCCTACTCAGCGGTGGCCCATGGGTGAGTTGCATGGTCCTGCCAGCGTTGATATGAGCTGAAAGCCTGTAGCAGTTGCAACCATCTAGTGCTTTGCCAAGGCTCCGCATCCGGTCGCCCCAGTACAGACCGGCCCACATGTTCTTCAGAGCACTGTGAGAAGAGCAAAGTCTTCGAAGGCCGGAAGCCTCTGCTTCAGCACGCCAGATCAAGCAAAATCGGCATCAGAGCTTGATTCACTTGCTGAGAAGCAATACGTACATGCTATGGAAGATCGTTGCGTACCTTTGGTGAGGACTAAACTGACTAAACCAAACACGAAAAAACAGCACAACTTCCGACCTTTACCGGGCTGGAAGCTCAAGATACTGTAAGAGATACATCACATGAAATGTACAGGCACAACGCGCCCTTGGGCTAAGATCAGCTCGACTGAAAGGCAGACGGTTTCGAAGAATGCATCTCGAAAGCGCAGCAGCACGGTCAGCTTCTGGTGTCCGACTGACACGGACTGACAGCAGCTCTAGCCCGTTGAGCAAACACAGCAAAGACCTCCTTTGAGCCACATTGTGGAGAGCATGACTGGCACAAACCCCCGATTTTCTGGGGGCAAGTCCCATGATTCTCCACACAGGCGACAAGGAGACGAGATGAGAGACAGCAGGAGCACGTCAAGGCTGGTCAACGAGCCGAGTTTCGACCGCCAAAGGAATGAACAAGAACAGGTTACAGTAGAAAACAAGAAGGAGCACGACAGCACAACTTGGAGTGCTGGCAGACACTAGAGGAGCTGTGTGAAAGTCACATCACAGAAATGTCGTAGCATCCTGTTCCCGTACAACATGACACGGCATTCACAGTCAACAGAAGTAGAAGGACAAAGACCAGCCTTGTCTTCAGAGGCCAAGAGCTCCAGGCGGGTAGATTGGGACCCGGCGCATGTGGAAGCTGCTGTTCCGCAGGCTCCGCTGTCCCACCACTTCAAGCTCAAATCGCAGAGATCTCCGGGCCAGACAGGACCCGTTCCAGCGGGCTCGGACTTTGCTTCAGGGTCTTTGTGAAGATGGGGCTGGACATCCATGTGCTCGTGACGCCCACCAGAGCCGGTTGAAGGTGGCATTGCATAGTGCTTCAGGAGGTCGGAGATTTGGGCGACGTTGGAACAGATTGACAAGGAGATGAAGCCGTTGCTGGCAAAAGTTGAGCCAAAGCCGAATGAATCTTTTTCTGTCGCAGATCGCGGGTAGTTTACCACATGTTCTTGCGTTTGAAGAGAGACTTGCCCCGCTTTTTGCGTGAAGCCTCTCGCATTTGTCGGAGCAATCAATGCCCACATGCAGCCCTCGGCTAGGCAATCCTTTTTGGACCTCTCCACGCCAATTTCATCGGAACTAACGGCCTGTAAAATGTAAGGAGAGTCTGGTGGCAGTGCTTGATGTGGCAAGCCCTGTCTCAACTGGAGCGAGCGGCACTTCGTACTTTGCAGTAGCTTGCTGCAAGACGCTGGGGTTTGTGTCTTCTCAACTTGTTGAGTTTAGAGGCCTTGCTTCGCAAGCGGTTCTTTATTGTGATGGCAGTGGCTTTGGTACAAGCGTGCCGGCAGATTTTTTGTTAGCGCTCTTCTGGACCCAGCACTGATGGACTCTGGAACCTTGTGTCAGCCTCGCTGGCCAGCTTGTCGCATTTGGGGCTATGCGGTGCAACAATCAAATCGAACCTTCGAGAGGGCGTGGAAATGGGAAGCATAGGGAAGCCAAGCAAGGATCAATGGTGCAGCCATTTTACTGGTGGCATTTGTCCCGGGGAACCTAGGACCTAGTTGGAACAAGCCACTCCTGCCTCGATCAAGCTCCGAGACTTAGGCTGCTCGATGTTCAGCATCGGCTTGAAAGTTCGAGGCTAAGCGTTTGTTTGCGATTTTCCTTGTTTGCATAAGGAGTCCGACAAGCTCGCACTGGATACCGCGGTCGCGCACGAATCACTTGGTGTGCGGACCCTGCACTTGAGAGAAGATGTAGATGTGCAGAACGCCAGATTGTCGGATAAGCTCCAGAGACGACTGGATGATGCGGACCTGTTGAAGAAAGGACTTTCCCGTTCCATCCAGTTGAGCCTACAAATAGAGTCCGGCCAAGTCGGTCTCCGAGGGTCTAGCACGTGCAGAGAGCCAGGTGCTTTGAATTCCAAGGTGTACGCTTTAAATCCGTAGGAGCTGCCACCGGATTGTGTAGCGGTGAAAGATTTCTCGAAGAGGGCAGATGCCGATCTTGCGTCAGCCTTGCGGCGACAAAGAGCGCCCACCCTTGCGGAGCACGGTCAGACGCCCGATAGATAGAAAAGCTACGCCTGCAAGAGCGGTCAAGCAAACGCACACTTCGTGCAGTCTTGCTCGTGCCAATTACAGCTTTCACTGGAACGCGAGTTTGCATCGCACCTGACATCACCTGACGATTTGTACCTGCCGAGGCCTGAACACGTGGAAAAGAACTGCCGTCCTTTGGGAGACATTGTGGAAAAAGGACCAGCAGCACAATTTTACGCAGCA